GCCATTTCCCCCTCAACAGCCGTTGGCGGATTCCGGTGGGGGGGGGGAGGAGGAGGAGGGGGGCTGCTTTAATTAAACCATGTCTGGTATCTGCAGTAGGAATAAAGAGGAACAGTTAGATTCGAGTCCAGTAGCAAGTTAGAGACCAATAAGAGTTTTGGAGTATAATATTTTCTAGGGTGGTCAGCCTCCAGGCAGGGACGGGAGATCTCCCGGAATTACAGCGGATATCCTCAGTCCTCCCCTCCCCGAAAATGGCTGCTTTGGCGCGTGGACTCTATGGCGTTGTACCCCACTGAGGTCCCTACCCTCAGACCGCACCCTCCCCAGGCAGCACCCCCAGAATCTTCAGGAATTTCCCAACACAGTGTTGGCAACCTTAATAGTAATACAGATACAAATAAAGGGACTAGTGATCTGTAATAGTAATAAAGAAGATAATGCTTTTTAGATGTGCAGAGAGTACCACCTGGACAGTAGCCATGGGAGATGGGAGCTTGCCTGTTCCTCTCCATAGGTATTCCCAGGACTGCCATAGCCCCATCCAGCCAGATGCCTTCCTTTTACCCTGCTTGGATCTAACGCTTAACGTTTGTATGAAGACATTTGTCTACTTCCATGCCCCCCTTCAAGGACTGGAGTTTTGTCTGCTAATCACCAGGCCCCTGTTGCTTTCTGGGAATATTGGTGTATAAAAATACATATATTTATTTATTTATTTCAATTTATAGCCCTCCCTCCCCACAAAAGCGAGCTCAGGGCAGATCACAGACAGGCATACGCCCGCACATAAAAACATTTTTAAAACCATTTAAAACATTATACAACATTACAAAATTACGTATATAAAGTGCTCCAGATATTCTGCAAACTTACTGCTGCTCTACTAGCTCAGTGTCCTCTGTTCTGGACAATGCCGGCATTCTTTCTGCCAGGGCCAGGTAATGATGGCACCGTAGTGGCGGCTCCTACTCAAACACCTGGCGGAAGAGAGCCGTCTTGCAGGCCCTGTGGAACTGCATTAGGTCCCGCAGGGCCCTGATCTCCTCCGGGAGCTCATTCCACCAGGTAGGAGCCGCCACCGAAAAAGCCCTGGCCCTGGTAATGGCCAGCCTGGCCTCCTTCGGGCCTGGTATTGCCAGGAGATGTTTCGCACCCGACCGTAGTGCCCGTGGGGGAACATATGGGGAACATATACCCTGAGCACCTTCCCCATAGGGTTGCCAACTCTGGGTTGGGAAATTCTTGGGGATTTTGGCGGTAGAGCCTGGGAAGGGTGGGGTACCATGCAATAGAGTCTACCCTCTAAAGCTGCCACTGAGGCGCCGCCTGGAGGTTGGCAATCTGCCTGGCAGAATTGCACCTGCTTCAGCAATGGAATTCCAAGAATATTCACCCAGCATTCATTTAAGAACACTTAAAAATACCAAAGTTGATCCTCCCCCCCAATTAGTTTATGCAATGATAAGGAAATTGAACAAATTGTAAGATACAAATCTCATCCCATCTTCCAGTATATACACACACATACACATTTCATGTGGTTTGGAGATTATGGATGTGTCTACTTTTGTCTCTATGGTTTTTGTAAAGTTCTGATTGGCCTCGACTTCCCAGTGTGTGTGAACACGCACAAGTAGGCCCTACACCCATGTGGTGCACCAGCCAGTCTCCTATAGTAACTTCCCAAGTTCTTTATGCCAGGCTTATCTTTGATTTTCCCAGCCTGATGAAGACATGCAGAAATGTAAAGAAGCAGGCCAGCTTTTGTGGAAACTCAGCCCAAGTTTGATTCAGCTCACAGTTGCATGTATCTTTCCCCCAAGTTTGTTGTAACTAAAAGCAGCCCTAAGAGGCAGTGAGAGAGAAAGAGAATCAATGCTGTTAAGAGACGTCTCAGGCCATTTTCCCAGCAAACCCCCACCCCATTCGTTTTTATCCTTTCTGAGGAATAGATAAGAATACCTATCCCACAATTACTGTTTAATACCCCTCCATACCACTGCCTGCATCGTAAACATCACTGCTCTCCAGGGGTCAGGCAAAGGACCTTCCTAGCCTCAGTGGTGAAAGTAATATAAAGAAAATAGGACAAAGATGGACAGTCCATCCATTAAGAAATAGCTGATGGTTGTACAAGCTTATATATCCCATGAGATACTAAATAAAGTCAATGAAAGCTATCTGAACCTACAAAAGATGCAATTCGATGCCTTGATCTATTGGCTACCAGATCAGTGATAAATCTGAACTTCAACTCAAGATCCGTGACAACACTGGAGTGAAAATAGCTTGGGTGCTTAGGTTTCCCTCAGTAATGATTCATAGATGGCTTAGCTACGTCTATGTTGTCCACTAATCAAGTTACAACTTTTTACACACTGATGTATTAATAGACACTTATCTAACAGAAACTGATGCCGTACATATAGGCTGATTCTGTTGTGACAAATTAGCTGGCCTGTAATTTCTGGCTCTCAGTAGGATCCACTGTAGACACAAAGTTTCTAATCTTATCAGTTCCAGAATTAAAATCTGATACTGGAATATATCAATATTTCTTGAAAGAGACTGACATAGTGCCCTTACCTGGATAGCCCAGGCAAGCCCGATCTTGCCAGATCTTGGAAGCTAAGCAGGGCTGACCCTGGCAAGTACTTGGAAGAGCGACCTCCAAGGAATACCAGGGCCAGGATGCAGAAGCAGGTAATATCAAGCCACCTCTCTGAAACGTCCTGGCCCCAGTAGGAGTCACCAGAAGTCACCATGTCTTCCAGGTTTGCAAGCACAAACACAATACTCACCCCCCAAAAAAATTGAAAAAAAAGAGACTAACAAGGGGTGATTTCCCACAAGCGCTGCTCCGCGCTCACTCCTCCCTTTTGCCCCATGGTACGTGTCAATTTCACACAAGCTGCTGTGCAACCGCATTTTGCCCCGCAGCTTCGTGCGATTTTCCCCGCCTCTACTCAATCCTGTTTTTTGAGGATTGAGTACACACGGGGAAAATCGCAAGAAGCTGCGGAGCAAAATGCACCCGTGCAGCAGCTTGTGTGAAATTGACACGTACCATGGGGCAAAAGGGAGGAGTGAGCGCGGAGCAGCGCTTGTGGGAAATCACTCATAGTGTTGAGTCATTCATCACAAATATAAAGGGCTGAGAAGGAGAAGGGTTCAGAGGGCTGAGAAGGAGAAAGACTGAATTTGAAACCCTCATTCAGCCTTATCCATCTTTCACAGAACAACCCTATACATATTGTTTAGAAGTAAGCCTCACTGAGTACACTGGTAACAACTTCTAGAGGGGTAGCCATGTTAGTACACTGAAGCAAAACACAAAAGAATTTAGCAGCACATTAAAGATTAACACATCTATCGGGCTACAGCCCACTTAATCAGAGACATTAAATGTTATATCTTTGTTATTTGTATTTATTTATTCATGTTTATAAATCATTCATATCTTGCCCTTTGTTCCCAAATATGGACTATGTAGGCAGCTCATATACTCCCCCCCCACACACACAGAGGAATATACAGAATGTAAATTGTAAAATTTTCCATACATTTATATATTTTTTCTCCACATGCTTCACTATAGAGCCAGCTTGGTGTAGTGGTTAAGTGTGCGGACTCTAATCTGGGAGAACCGGGTTTGATTCCCCACTCCTCCACTTGCACCTGCTGATGTGACCTTGGGTCAGTCACAAGCTCTGGCACAGCTGTCCTTGAAAAAGAGCAGTTTGTGTCAGAGTTCTCTCAGCCCCACCCACCTCACAGGGTGTCTGTTGTGGGGAGGGGAAGGGGAAGGAGTATGAATCCAATCTCCTCCTCCTCTTCTTCTAATAGTAAACTGGCTGGCCCTTGATGCTCACCACAAAACTATGCCGCTCAGAGACAAAGTAAGGGTATCGGTAGGGCTGCCAAATGCCCCCAGGGAGCGGAATTCCCCCCGGTTTCGAGCCCCGATTCCCGCTCCCGCGGAATCGGGGCCCGGGGGAAACCCCATCCAGCGAGACATGAGGCCTCTCAACAGTCTACAGCAGGTGCGTCAAACATATGGCTCAGGCGCTGGAACCAGTCCATCCAGGGCTCTCATCCACCCCACAAAGCAACTGGGAAGGCAGGAAGCTGGGGGGGGGGAACAGGCACACATCGTGAGGGGTGTGTGTGTTGTGTCTGTGGTCGAAGCTGTCAAAAAATAGGAAATTGCTAGGGGACAGGACTATGAAGCTGGGGTAAACTTGTGTGTGGGAAATGGCAGCAAAGGTGTAGAAAGAGGAGGCATGGTGTTTTTTCCCTCCCGCCTCCTCCAACCGCAGCTCAGAGAGGATGGGCAAAGCCACTACAGGGAGAGGCAGAGCTGAGGAGCCAGCACTGCTACCGCTGCACCCAATGGTGACCGTGAGGGGGGTTGCTGAGAGCAGGTGTGTGGAGCGGTGGTTTGCCTATGAAGGGCTGCCAGCAGGGGAGAGAAGAGGAGGAGGGCTGGCACATGGATTGGGAGGCAACTGGGCTGTCTTATGCATGCCACTCTGAGGGGAAAGAGGTCCTGGTCTCAGAAGCGAATGGAGGAGTGAAGGGAAAAGGGGGGGTACCTCTCTCACCGCTGCATGTTTGAATAGCCACGGAACTGGGAGGCAGAATGAATGTCAGGGCAGGTGGGGGATGGCAACCTCCTTTCTCCCCTACACCTATTCTCAGCCTATGAAG